TTTTTTTTAATTTGTATAATGAAATGACGCAACACAATATCTAAATTTTTCTTTTTTATGTTTTGGCTATTTAAAAATAAAAAGCAACATTTTTTGACAAAAATTAAAACTTTTTATCGTCATTGAGATAAACAGCATTGACTGTGAAAAAAATCTAATTGTCTTTACACAATATTAATAGTAACCTTCCGAATATAGTCGAGCATTCTGTTAACAATTCTCAACCCTTTATCGTTGCACCAGAAGTACGGTTGATTTCTGCGGCTGCTTATGGACTTTGCTTGAGTGTCTATTAATTCGAATTATCACCATCAGTAAAAAGAACGGTGTTTTTTTCAAGCCATCATTTCTCTGGTTGGCTGGTACCTTTCTGATCACCGTGGACAGAATTGGGCTAAACAGAAAAAAAGACAAATTATTTATTTTCCAATTTTTGAAACCAGTCGGAAATTGGACTAATTTCTTCTTTTCCTTTTTTAATCCAAGCGTGACTGCTTGAAAAAGTTTTGCAAAACGCTGAAACGCAACGCGAAACCTTTCATTAAACAATTAAATAAGCATTTATTTTGATAATTTGAAATTAGAATAGTAAGATTTTGTAAATGACAATATTTTAGATTCTCAAAACATTTTTTACCTTCTCAAGTAGATATTTAGTAGTTTTTTACCTTAGCATAGTGGACATTCAAAGATGTTATTGAATGCTTTACATCACGTTTTAATCGATATTAAAAGTGTTGTTAGATTCTGTCAAAAAAAAAAAAAAAACAGAGACTTTCAACAATTCTAACAAAAAATCATCATAACGTATACCTGAATGATCTTTTAGATCTTGTTGACTGTCGATTTTATTTAGAAAAAAGAAGAAAACAAGATTAAAGAAGTCCTAAGTATACTTAATCAATTCACATGCAATACTTTGGTTTATGTCGAATCAGCAAAAAATGAATATTCTGATATAATCATTAGAGAATTACTAAAGCCTAAAATGTTCTTTGCGAAATCAGCACTGTGCGAGTAAATAACGTAGGAATATTCTAAGTGTTATTTGGTCAGTAAATCAGTATAAAGTTAACAGTTGTTAAAGCGATCTATTCAAGCACAATTAGACCAACAACTACCTGCACTGCTTAAACTTGAATTTGTCTAATTTTTGTTGATAGTAGCTCAAGCAATCAAATTTAAATGTTTTTTTTTGCATCACTTTAGAATTAAAACGTTGTTTTTGCTCTAATCTAAACAACTTGTATTTGTAGCTTATTGAGCGAACAAAAAACCAAACTTTTTTTCGCAACAT